ATGCCACACGCCAACCGTCATCTTCAGGAACTTTCTCATACACCCAAAATATTAGTGAGCCAGAATTCAACATTAGAAACATTTAACTCTGCTTTTCTCTGGTCAATCAACTGTCCAATCTCCTTCCAGAAGTTTGTGATTCTGGTGAATCCATTCTGACCTATGGTAGTCTCACATTTCAAGCAACTGTTTAAATGTCTCTTGATTTCTGGGTCTTCCTTTTTCAGGTCATTACAGACACTTTCTCTCTGTCAATTGGCTTAAAGACAAGAGTCTAAACAGTGTGTGTCCAGGATGTGTGGGGTCTGCAGAGATGTTAGCTTCCCTTTCCTCTGACCTGTCAGGGTTCCTAGTTGTTTGCGTGGTTTCTCATTTGCTCCCTCTCAGCAGATTGCGTCACCATACATCCATCTGATCAATTCAGATGCTAGAGCTTAAAAGGGGCAGCGGCTGATCAATCAGTGACCGACCATTAACCTTTGGAGGCTCTGCCTTGAAGGGATCCACAACTACAGTTGGCCTAAATATGTTGCATTTTTCCTAATAAATAAAAAATTGCCATTTGTGATTCGTAAAGACTCATAGTTACTTATATATCCTTTGTAATATTTTTGATCCATGGAGGTCCTCATTTAAACACAGAAAGGATAAAATTAGCAGAGTTGTTTTTATTCACCAGTTAAAGCATCAACAAGATTTTTACTCAAGTAAAAGTGCAAAGTACCATTTTTAAAACTAGTAAAAGTATAAAAGTAAAAGGAACGCAGGAAATTTTTTAAGGACAAACGCTTTAAACTTTATACCGGTTCCTGCACTACACTATTGAAGGAAAAATGTTCTACAATTCTGGATGATTATAACTTGATGACAACTTCCTTATACTTCATTTTCTTAGTTTTATAACTTTAAATTTAACTCTGTATCATCTTGAAAACTATTTATTTTGATATATGGCGAACAAGTTGGAGCAGTACAGAGTCCAACTACAAAGACATTAATTATCTGGACGTAACAAATTATTCTGGTAGTTTTTCATTTTCTTAATACCAACAGGCCATAATGAAAATGAGCTTAAATAAAACCAAACCAATGGGTCTATTTATGAAATGTAAGGAGAAGAAGGTGGAGATAATTGCAAAAGAAAAATGTAAGGAGTAGAATTAAAGAGTTGTTTAAAAATAATTACTCAGGTAAAGTATAGATAGCAGAAATTTCTACTTAAGTAATGTAACAAAGTGTTTATACTTCTTATGTGACACCTCTGATCAGCACAAGGGACTTAAATCATCATAGAATTAATGTATGCATTTGCGCACTTCATCTTTGATAATAAAATGTGTTGGTCTAAAACATGAAAAAAAAATTTGAGAAATTTTCTTTAAGCGAGAAAAATGTATGAGAAACATCCATCCTAACTTAATTATTTTGCTTTTTCCAAGGAAGGATCCCATTCATGGATGATTTACAGGCAGACCAACAGGGTTGCTTATCTTTATCTAGTCTAACTGCTGCGTCTTGCTAAAGGTTGATGTAAAGAATCCAGATAGTGGAGAGAAATGTGGAAACCAATCTATAGAAATCCAACCTGCAGGCCCTGATGCAGTCATATGAAACAGCACAGAATGTGACTGACAACTCCAGAGATTAAGGCTGCTATTGGCCGTCACTGGAGTGAAACCAAACCTGCACCTCTAGCAGGGCAGCGACATGCAGGCAGTGAAATGTTAGGACGACTCAGTCAGATGCACTTCAGAGTATCGTTTAAAACCACAGGCCCTTCTTACATTAGTGCACAAGTCCTCCTTACGTTTGATAGCTTCATTGATCTCATCTCAGCTGAGGCACTAAAGGTTATCTCAACTATTCCAGATTAGATTTGATCAAAGTGGGCAAAATATAACTTTAATCGGTTAACAAACACTGGTGGACTTTCTGTTAAGTCCTATTAAGGTTGTTTTCTAGTCTGGGTTTATATTTCACTGAAGTTATTCTTTTCTTCAACTATTTTAGGAGCAAAACTCTTTACTTTTTAAAGCCAATTAATTTTGAACAGGAATCACTGAGGCATAATAAGGCTCCTAAACACACATGATTAAACCAGCTCTGTGTCCACACTTTACAAACAACTTTATAAATAACTTTGCAAAGAAGCTATTTAAACTGGCATGTCAGATGTATGTTACCAAAAGCTTGTTAGAAAAACACATTTATCTGAAATAAAAAAAAGAGAGAAAACAAAGACAGCACACACCCGTAAGTCACATAAACATATTAATGAAAGTTTAAAGAAATGTCTATTTCCCACAGTTCCTAGATGGAAGAGGTGGAAATATTTTTTCCAGGTATCTCAACTGTCATGAATACATACCTCATGTTATCTAAGCCCCGCCCCCAAACAAAGGGGGCAGTGGCTTGGAACAAAAAACTACCCCTATAAAACGATCATTTTGTTTTCAGTTGGAAATCTTTTTTCTTTTGATTGTTTAAAATGTATAATTTATATATATTTTTTCTTTTAAATTGTCTTTTAGTTTCAGTTCCAAATTTAGCTCCCTATTTTATCTCCCATTTAGAAAGCCAACTCATTAAAGTGGCTTCAAACATTTTCTTGACCTGAAGTTGGGTAAATGAATCTACTAATGCAACAGAGGTTCTGTTACATTGTGCTTTATCTGATATCTGCATTGACTCTGTGGTTCATTCTGATCATAGGTGTGTTTAAAAAAAACAGCCTGTACTATGCAGAAGAGTTAAATGTTATTTTGTGGAGCTTATTTCCATTGTAAAAGTTCCTAAACTCACATGTGACCCTCCAAAGCCTACAGGATACCTTCCTGGAACTTACTAAGGTGTTTCCAAATACTTACTAGAACTTCTTAATGGCAAACACCTGAATTAAATGTCTAAAATTTACCTTTTATTTTCCTGCAACTTCTTTGAGGCTTAACTACTACCATGATTCTGGAAAGGAAACAATTAGTGGAGGAAAGCTCTAAATTATTATTATTTTTTTATGAGTTACTGTCTTTAAAGAACTCGTGTCTTGGAGGAGTGAGCAGAATTTCCTGCTGTGTTGAGCACAAAGTAACACAACGCCGATCTGTGAGTAATAGCCCCATTTACACTACCCTTATGAAACGGTGCTGAGATTGGTCCAGCACGGTAACCGAGACACCTTTGGAGTGTAAACAACTGAACCGGAATGCGCCAGACACAACAAAACTGCGCTGGCATGGTACTAGATCATCAGTCGGGCTCGGCACGGTTCAGTTCTGGCTCGGTTCTCAGATAACAAGGAGATCTTGGCCAGACCGTGTCATCTCCTTACAGTCCGCCTCCTTAATCATGAAACTTCAGACATTCATAAAAATACTAGCTTCCCTAGCGTGCCACATGATTTCCAGTGAGAATTCTGCTTAGCAGTGTGATGAACCTCAACGTCCGTCGTTTCCTACCATGTCGGTTTTCTTGTTTACCTCTAGAGAGCAGTACTACCGTAGATCGTTATTAGGAGGGGGGTAAACATGCTAACATGGTGTGTAAATGGTCGTAGGGAACCAAGCTCGGCATGGATAACTGATCCAACTCGGCACGGAATGGTTTTCAGAGGATAGTGTAAATGATAGTGTAAATGGGGCTTATGAATTGGTGGCTGGTAAACTGGTCCATTTTCCTTCCCCATGTTCATTCAGAATAAAAACACCAGCCCTGTTTAAACGGTTGGAGCAAAACCCATGCTCTCATGAACCAAATACTGTTTACTGATCTGCACTTAGGGAGGGCACACACCTTTACATTAACACCACCAAAATAGGAGACTTTTAATTCAACCTTCTCTACCTAATGGAGTAGTATTGGTTGAATGGTTAGAGCAGTGGGCTTGTGCTCTGAGAAGGTTGCACCTGGTCGATCCCCACAGCCTCCACTCTGGGTCCCTGAGCAAGACCCTTTACCCCACACTGCTCCACCGGTGTCACACAATGGCAGCCCATTGTGTGACACCGCTGCTCCCCAAGGGGATGTGCTAAATGCAGAGAGTGAATTTCCCCATTGTGGGACAATAAAGGGATTAACATTTTTTTTTTTTTTTTTTACATTTTGACAAACTGTCATAAACTTAATCAAAAATAGATATTTTAAATAAACTTGTCATATAATTTCATTTAAATTTCTTATTTAATCAGCAGTAGGACACTTTTGTGGCTTTTTTTTATTCTTAATGTAAAACTCAATGTTATAATGAGATGTTCAGTAACTACAGAAGAGGATTAGGGCCACTGAAAAAATAAAAAAGGTTAACTGATAAAAAAAATAAAATCAGTTTAATATGGGGGAAAAGTCAGAATTCTGACTTTAATCTCAGAGTTCAGATTTTTTTTCCACATATGAAACTGAAATAAAATTTAAAAATCATTTAACTTTTTTTTTTTATATAATTCAGTAGCCCTAATCCTCTCCCTTAATAATCCTCTTCCGTAATTATTATTATTTTTTTAATCAGTTAACTTTCTTTTATTTTTTTCAGTGGCCCTAAACCTCTTCCGTAAGGAACAGCTGAGATCCTGAGGTGTAACAGAAATGTTGCTCCACCTAGTGGAGGCGGTAGGTAAAGCAGGAGCTGAGGGGTTCAGTGTCTGGATTTAAAGGGTCGCACAAACTGGCTGTTAATTGGCTGGTACCAGTTCTCCTTCTCACCTCCTCAGTAAAACAGGCTGTTTTAGAGCAGAGGGCAGATAGACAGGAGAAACCTAAATGATAGCAGTGTGTGTGTGTGTGTGTGTGTGTGTGTGTGGGGGGGGTGTTAGTTGAAGTGAAATCAGAGCAGTAATGAAGGAGGGGATGTTTCCGCGCTCAGAGCGGTGCCCTATTTCCAGCCTCCTCGGTCTACCTGCGCTCCAGGGGCCCCTCCTCCTCCCCCCCCCCCGCTCCGCTCCGCTCCTCGGAGTTTCTGTTGCTCTCGTTGCAGTAGGAGGGTCCATGTGCACAATGACGTCGCTCTGATTGCAAGTCCGACCGACTCCTGCGTTTGTTTTTTATAACTCCTCTTTTCTTTTTTCTTTTTTTTTTTAAATAAACGCAGGCCCCCCAGATTCTTTAATCTGTGAAATTACAGTCATAATGTGAGATTACGCTCCGCTGTTACCCGACCCGTCGCTGAGGCTCGTCCAGTCAGGAGCAGCGGCTCGCTGTTGGAGGATTACCAGAGATAATACGCAGCAGACTCCTCCGGTGCGCGTTTAGCTGTCAAACTGACAGCGATGTGTCAGGAGGAGTAGTTAGAGCGCCTCGGTTTGGGTTTATTCACTTTGCTGCGCGCGTCCTTTCTCCGCTGCCTTCTGGATTATCGCTGCCCAGCAACAACACAGCCACCTGACAACTCTGAATGTCGTAATTAAGGTAAGGAAGGAGCCTTGTGGACAGCGGGCATTTGGCTGATGGGCTGCGGGAACAAGCTCGCTGTTTGCTCGGATGTTTAAAGTCCTGCATCCCAGGTCGGATTATCGAGAGAGAGAAATCTACTAACTTTCATCCGGGCAGAAGCTTTCCTTTCCATCTGCTCCATAATAATGATAAATAAAAAAAAACTATACAAGAAGTTTAAGCTTCTTTATCTTTTATAGAGGAGTATTTTTAAATCGATTTTTTTGCATTGATATGTTTGAAGGTTGTTGGAAATTTCTAATTTAACAATAACAATATAATTTAATTGTTTTTTTTTATCACATAGTTGCAAAAATGCAAAAGAAACTTAAGATGCTACAGAAGAAACAGTTAAATTTCGTTTTCTTTTCTGCGCATCGTCCAAATGGAGCGATGCGCAGAAAGTCCCAGAGCTGCAGGATTATTCATCCACTGTTTTACTGTAACAGATATGAGAGTTAACTAATGTTTATGAAAGTGGGAGTGGGTGCATGGTGGAGGTGGTGGTGGGGGGGTAGTTTAACTCAACCATTAATGTCTTCCTGACCCTAAATGTTTGCATGGAGAACATCTGCAGCTTTCAGCCCCTGCAGCTGCAGAGTTTTATCCAAATTGTTGGATTATTTTGGTCCAAGTCTTAAAGCTGCTCCGGTTCTGCAAACTACAGTAGAAGTTGTGTCGCAGCAATGTTGTGGTCTCAGGAGCAAGAACTATTGAGTGACAGCTTTCGGTCCAATCCCTGCGTGACCCGATGAGGCTGATGGGTTTCTGACTCAGCTGTCCAATAGGGGCGCAGCTGAGGTGGGGATCTGCTGACGTCACGTCGATGAATTAACCCTCAGTTTGCACTTTTTCTCCCCCCCCCCCTTCCAGCTGCGATAAGGCGCTTCACCTGCTGGAGACCCAATAACTGACACTCCTTGTTTTTTCCCCTTGCTAAACTGTTCTTAAGGCGCATTTCATAACAAAATAAAAAAAATAATTTAATTTTCTTTTTATATTTGAAACATTATTTTAACATCTAATTTTATTTTTTTTTCTAATTTCAGTTTTTTTTTTCAGGTTGAGTTTTACAAATTAGATTATTTCCAAATTGCGTTTGATCTTTTTCTTTGCTTTCTTCTGAAGAGGAAAAAACATTTTCATTGTGGGCTTTAACCGTTTGTATTGAGCTTGAAATGAAAAGAAAGTCATCTGGAAAATGCAGTTTTAAAAGAATGACCTTTTTTAAACCTAATCTAAGAAGGGAAATTTGAAAATAATAAAAATATCAATTAAAGATGTGAAAAAAGTGGGAGAAAAAATTAGAGACACAACTGAGTCAGAAAAAAGTTTTAATAAGTTGTTCAAAGTTTCCTATCTGGATGACAGTTTTATTTATTTATTTGTTTCTTTCATTTACAACATTTACAAACGGCGTTATTTGCAGGCAACAATAATGGAACAAAACTGACTCCATAGACTTCCACCAATATTTTATTACACTGGACTCAGCTGTGTGTGTGTGTGTGTACCTGTCTAGCCCTCAGAGTGAGGACCATTTTTGCAATTTCACCATCAAATTGAGGACCAGTTGTTGCAAAGTGAGGACATTTTGCTGGTCCTCACATTCTATTTTGCTAATGGTTAGGTTTAGGGCTAAGGTGACAATCGGTTAGGGTTAAGTAAGGTATGCATTGGTAATGGTTAGGTTTAGGGTTAGTTATAAGGTTACGGCATAGAAAGTGAAAATGACTGAAAATCAATGGAAGTCAATGGGAGTCAACACATGGTCCTCAATACGATGGCATGTGTGTGTGTTGGGGGGGGATTTTACACACATACACATCTAGTCAGTTGAAGGTCATACAAACACTGGTTACTGGTGCAAACATGCAGCTGGCCTGCTTTGATACTGGATCCAGTCTTGATTTAATAAAGTCAGTCACACAGTTAGGATTCCCTCTTTAAGTGGAGCAATTCTGCCCTGGACAAGTATAAATACAAAATTAAGAACTTACTTTAAAGTGCCATCTCACAAGCAAAAGCAGGCAGCTCTGCATAAGTCGGTTATTTAACTAATACTTAACCCCAAACACCTATTTATTTCAATCTTTTTTTCTATTAATATTTCCCATTGGATTTCTCCCAGGCAACAACATTTGAGTAAAATTCTTATTTTATTTGTGGAAAAAATGAACAAATAAACTTTATTGTGAAACGAATAAACAGCATCTTGTTCTCAAAATGCAGCAACAAGGTGCCTCAAGTGTCCATGCTGGATGACTTGGTTTAGTTCAGGGACCCGGCTAGCTGCTATTAGCATTAAACGTTAATTATATTGTATTTCTTTGTATCATCTTTGTGATGTACATTCTTCTCCATCAGCTTTCACTATATTTTAACAGACAGAGAAGCCATTTTGGAGTTTGAGGTTGCAGAAGTGGAGATTTATAAGCTTTCTCCTTTTAAACGGATATCAGAGTTAAAAAATTTCCTTCAGTCAACAAAACAGAGCCAATGGATGATAGCAGTTAATTTAAGGCAACTTGCTAAAAACACTTTCCTGTTTTACCCCTCCTTTCAGTACGGCTAACGGGTATAGGACTAACCTGCGACAACTTCTTCTAGGGAGTTTAACATCAACTTCATATTGGGTATTCAGACTTAGTTTATGCAGATAATCTTATACCCATGATTCATTTCTCTTTTGTTTACCAGGTGAATCGATGAGCCAGAAATGGAGACCAAAGGATACAAAAGTTTCTTTGAGGGGAACGACTCGGAGAACAAATGGTCTCAAGCCCCCAGCACAATGGAGTACTCCTGCAGCACTGAGGACTCCAGCCTGACTAGCAGCGACATCCTAATGGACGTGGTCAATGTCAGCTGCTCTGCTGGAAGCCTGGCAGCCGACAGCAAAGACAATAATGCTGAGAAGCAGGAGCAGCCAGCGCTTCAGCTCGGCCAGAACCAGCCGTTTGTTCTCCCACACTTCAACAACACCCTTCACGGTCTGAAACAGGAAATGGACTCCAAGGAGCTTTCCAAGACAGTGGCTGAGTCTATGGGTCTGTATATGAACGCTGCCAGGGAGGCGGACTTTGCTTTCAGCCATCATGGAGGCAGCACAAGCCCAGGGAAACCTTATCCGCGATGTGGGCGCTCGCTGGACGAGAACCAGTGCGGCTCCAAAAAGAGCCCAAACTTGAAGCCATTTGGTTTTCAACAGCCAGGCGCCACTCCCAGGGAATGCATCACCGGGACTTCAACAGGCTCAGCCTCAATGCTGGCGTCCTCCCTGTCCTGCAGTCCACAAACCTCCAGCTGCATTTCCAGCCCTGGAGGCAGTAACAACATGGTGTCATCTACAACCAGCCCTACATGCTTCGGACCACTATGCTCATCTGTCAGCAGCCCTGGAAGCCAGACGTTGTGTGCTGCAACTTTAGCCAACATCAAATGCAGGAATTCAGTCACATGTAGCCCTGTGGAGTCCAGCACAGTTGGATCACCCCCACTGACCAGTCCACTTAATGTTATGAGGTCCCCCATGTCCAGCCCGCATAGCATGAGTAGTGTGAGATCCCCTCCATCCTGCAGCACCACATGCAACATTAGGTCGTCTGTTTCCAGCCCCACGGGTGGCAGCTGCACTGCCGCTGCTAATAACAGTAACACAGCAAGGCTGTCCCTCTCCAGTCCCTCCTCAGGGGGCCCTATGGCTGCCAGCAGCCCTCAGAACCCCTCGTCTGTCAGCTTCCCTGTGTCAAGTCCGGCTGGCGGGCTCGGTCTGGTTCAGAATGACACCAACAGTCCAGAAGCAGAAGGGATAACCAGAGACACAGATTTCAAGGACTTTGAGTTCCCTAAAGTGGAAATGGTGGACGGGGAGGTATTCAGTGTTGGGTTGGACCAGATGGGCATGGTTAAGTACATTAAGAATGAACCTGAATCGGACTTTAGGAGCATGTGTTTAGGCAGCTCCAAATGTAATGTGAGCAGCACACCTTTAATTACACAGATTAAGAGTGAGCCAAACAAAAACGAGGGCTGCATGAACCAACAGCCCTTCGGTGAGCCGTCGCCTTCTCTTGGTCTCTTCCCTGCATCTGAGACCACCTATTTGTCCCTGAGAAATAACATCGATGAGTACAGTCTCTCTGGGATCTTAGGGCCCCCAGTCTCCTCTGTAAATGGGAGCTATGAGACAGACCTCTTCTCCAGCAGCATCCTGTCTAAAGGGGTCAAGCAGGAGCCCACTGATGGCAGCTATTACCAAGAGAATAACAGCATGTCCACCTCCGCCATTGTTGGAGTTAATTCCGGGGGACACTCATTCCATTACCAGATTGGAGCGCAAGGAACAATGTCCTTTACACGGCATGACATGAGAGACCCGTCCAACCCTCTGCTGAATCTAATTTCACCCGTAACGGCGTTAATGGAGTCCTGGAAATCTCGGCCAGGGATTTCACAGGGTTCGCTCTCCGCCAGGAGTGAGGGCTTCTCAGGCCAGAACTGCATCGCCGACGGCATGTCCAGGTAAGAGAAAGAAACATATCTCTGAGGAGTCTCTGTCCACTCTGCTTCCCTGCATGGCTTGAAAATCAAAGAGCAGTTTTAATGGCTACCTAGGGTTGCAAATAATGTGGTAATGCACGATCGTACTATAAAAGAAAAAAGCAAACACAACTATTCTTTCTTTCGTCCAGATGTTCTCTGAATGGCATTCCATTTATTTATTTTTTTTCTGTTGGTTTTGTCCATAGATATTTATGCTTAGGATCCATCTGAATCAGGGAAGTTAGTAAGGATGCTTAAGCCAATGCAAAAGTGCCATCAACATGAAAAGTTCTATCCGAATAGGGCTGGGAGTTAGAAAAGAGGCTGGAAGAGGCACCTCCAGCCACTGGGAGCTACACAGTTTCCCACAATGCCTCATTCACAGCCTCCCTCACAGAGTTAGGCAAAAATACTTTATTTCCTCACCTGTACTCTGTTATAAAACGGTGTGTACATTAGCATGTGTCACACAGAAAACTTTAGCCATATGCTACGTTTAACTTTGGCCCTGTAGTCCCATTTTAACTAGCCTTGTCCATGTGTGTTTTTGTCCTGTAATGACCTCCGTACGACTAAAGGTTGTCTGCATTTAACGCAGCAGCCCGGTTTCCTTCCCTTCCCTGGATAGATTTCTAAATGTTGACCTTGCGAAAGGTGAAGGAAAGGAGCTACAATTCACATCATGCATGTATTCGTAGCAGGTGTTGTGTTTGCAGTAAGTTTCCAATTGGCTGATCTCTACTTTCTCCTTCGCTGCATTTTTGGTCTTCCATGAGTTTTGTATGTTAGCATCATTCTTGTCTTTGCTGGTCTATTTTTTCGGATGTTTGCATGACCTTTTGAACTGGATGTAAAATCATGTATTTACACAGCATTTGCACCTTTCGTCCACGTTGAGTTGGTACTTTTCCTCAATAACGCTGCAGTGTATATTTCAGAGTATTGCTCTTGAATGTTTCTTCTGTGATGTTTAGTTTAGTTTGTGAACTGCAACATAAAATGCATTGTGATACTATTTGAAGTGGGATTACGCAACGAGATTTAGGTCGCAGACATAACATCATTTCTGTTTGTTACTGCCCTGAACTGTACTGCGACACGGAGGCAAAGTTTAGCTCTTATCTGTCGACAATCCATAGATATTGGCAGATTTTATTGGTTCCTTATCTGGACGTCTCGCTGAAACCTCCTGCACTGCAAATAGTTGTTTATTGCAGGCTGTTGGAAGACTTATAAATTATGAATGTCTGATCATTACCAGCTTTTGTAGCCAAACCGTGTTATAAACAGGTGATAATGGTGTAAGGGTTGGGGATAAGGAAAAATCTGTGTTGGCTGCTCCGATCGGAGCCCAGATGTTCTGGTCTATCTGGTCCAGTTTGAAGGAAGTCGATTATTTAGGTGTTAATTTTCCAGTCATAATCCAGCTCATTAAAATAAACCAACACCAATAAAACCACTAAAAACCAGATGGTGTAAAATCTGCTGAACTTCAAGGCTTTATGCTCCGGATGTTGGTGTTTAGATGATAAACTTGTTGCTATCACCAGTTTATGGATGAAATGTCAGGGACAGAGATTTTTATTAGCTGAAGGGGAAAAGGCATCTAAACAAAGTCATAAACCACTTCCAGGTACCTAAAGCGCTTCAGATCCAAATCAGGATGTAGCGGGAGCTGCTGCTGGTCTGGTTATAGGAAGCTCTGCTCTGAGGGAATAACTATGATCAGCACAGCCTTCCGCTTGTCTTCTCCAGACCGTACTGTTTATATTGTTTCTGTGTCAGTTGGTGTCCTTCTTTGTTTCTGTTTAAAGGGAAGGATGGAAAGATACGAGGAAACCTTACACAATTTTCATTTCCCTGCCTCCCACTCGGATTGGAGGTGATAGGAAAACACCAAGCCGTGCATAATTGTGAAAGAGAAAAACTACTTATCCATGTTTTTATTTGACTGCATCCTTTGATTGATCTGAACCCACCAGTCTGAGCTCTGGCTCTGTTCTTCTGCTCACTCTCAGGTCTTTAACAGATCTTTGTGCAGAGCTGCACAAATCAACATTCCTTCCCTCTTCCTGCTGTTGAGACATTCCCCCTCAGCATGATGATGCCCCCACTGTGTGTTCAGGGTGATCTCAAGCTTTAGTTTTGGCCTCATCTGTTTTACAGACACCATGTTTTAACAGGATTTCTGTCTTTCTTTTAATTATCGCCTTCATCTTTCTACTTTTCCATAAATTGCAAATGTATTGATAGTATAAATAAAACGTTTCCTTGTGCTGGTTGACCTCTACTGGGGTTAACTTGTGCCTTCTGACTAATTTAGTTAACGCTCTCCTTGTCCGGTTCGTGGGTGTATTGTCATTGGAATAATAATATGGGCAACTCCTTAAAAACAGTTATGATCACTTCATTCTAGATTTATATAAAAACATTTGTGTCTCGAGAATTGAATGCTATCTTTAGTATTTTAATTACGCTAAAGATAAAAGAAAATGAATAAATAAATAAATGTCCTATTTCATAGTTGGCTGACTTGTTTATTGATTACATTCAAATGAGCAAATTTCATGATGTTTTTTCTCTCCATATACTTCAGGGATCAGATCACAGTATCTATAAGAACACATGTTGCCATCTTTGTTGTTTTTGATGAATATGCCGTCAGTTTGGCGTACCTCCGTTCTGCCCGGTGACTGATGGGTCCAGGGTGTACCACACCTGGACACCCCGCCCCCACCGACAGAAAGGTTCTCTTTTTACTTTCCAATCTTGGCCTAGTTTTTTATTTTTCTCTTTCACAGACAATCATCATAGAATTAAAGTTTGTGGTTAAAAACGGGGTAAAATGCCTGAAGGTTAATGCAGTATAAATACATCTGAAGGAACTGCAGATTTTTTCATGAACCAGATTTTTTTTTCTGTTTTCTTTGGAAAACTACAGCAAATAAATTATACATGAAATTATTTAATTCTTCATTAAATAAATGTGGATCAGGCACAGCAAGTTTATTTATACTGCATTTCACCTTATCAGGGTTTTTCTCTCCTCTGGGTCTGACGTGTTTATCCTGCTTTATATGAGCTGTGCACACTCGTCCAAAGAGTGGCTACGGGCCGCGGTCTGTGTGTTTGTGCGTGTGCGGCTCTGTGGAGACGGATACGCCGCGTTGCCTTGGAGGCAGTCCATATGGCAGGAGCCAAAGCGATGTTGACGGGATCACTGCCACCTTGGTCCTAATGAGATCCAGCTTCGACCTGATGTCAGACAGGATGACAGGAAGTGACCAGGCATGAGCCCACAAACAACAAATATACATTCTTTAATATGAGGCAAATATGGAACAACATACATAAACTATGGGGAGATTCAGAGACAACATGAAGGATAGCATAGTGTTTTATCATGAAGGCATCACCTTAAACAGAAGTCTTCATTCAGTCAGTCAAGAAGAAAACTCACCTGAGGAGATCTGTCCTGCTTTGGACAGACTGTCCTGCTGTGGACTGACTGTCCGGCTCTGGACTGGCTGTCCCGCTCTGGACTGACTGTCCTGCTATGGACTGACTGTCCTGCTGTGGACTGACTGTCCTGCTGTGGACGAACTGTCCGGCTCTGGACTGACTGTCTTGCTGTGGACAGAATGTTCTGCTGTGGACTGAGTGTAAGGCTCTGGACTGGGTGTCCTCCTATGGACTGACTGTCCTGCTGTGGACGGACTGTCCGGCTCTGGACTGACTGTCTTGCTATGGACAGAATGTTCTGCTGTGGACTGACTGTCCGGCTCTGGACTGGCTGTCCCGCTCTGGACTGGCTGTCCCGCTCTGGACTGACTGTCCTGCTATGGACTGACTGTCCTGCTGTGGACGGACTGTCCGGCTCTGGACTGACTGTCTTGCTGTGGACAGAATGTTCTGCTGTGGACTGAGTGTAAGGCTCTGGATTGACTGTCCGGCTCTGGACTGAGTGTCCTGCTATGGACTGACTGTCCTGCCATGGACTGACTGTTCTTCTGTGGACTGAGTGTAAGGCTCTGGATTGACTGTCCGGCTCTGGACTGAGTGTCCCGCTGTGGGCGGACTGTCCCGCTCTGGACTGACTGTCGACTTACTGTCCTGCTGTGGACTGACTGTCCTGCTGTGGACTGACTGTCCTGCTGTGGACTGACTGTCTGGCTCTGGACTGACTGTCCTTCTGTGGACGGACTGTCCAGCTGTGGACAGGTTGCATGTCCCATCCCCACCAGGTACTCCAGCTTACTCCCACTGACCTTATCCTCTCTTGTCCTTTTAGTCTCTTTAAATTTGCCTCCGCAGTGTGTGTGTTATTCCTGACAGGCATGTATTCTGATGTCTATACCATCTACACAGGCAGGTGTGGATCGGAAAACGATGGATGATTTAAATCAAAACTGTGCTTCAAAGTGTTTATTGATACATTTCATACACAGAAAAAAAAAATCTTATTTTGCTGGATTTGACCGCTGACCAGCAGCTTGGATAGCAGCCATCCAAGGGAAAATTGAAACATATCTAATTGTTGTTTTTGCAGTATTGTTTTATCCTCTCGGATGAATCTAAAACATTGGAGCTTTTGTTCTCTTATTTTCTGAGTCCAAGTTGATGGAAACAGAAACAGAAGCTGAGAATGTAATTTGTAGCTTTAGATTTTCCAGATAAAACATCAAAAAATCTGTTCTAGCCATTGAAATAAAAAACAGCGAACTACTTTTTCTTTTCTCTTTGCCCGAAACCAGATTCTGCGGCTTGACATGGCAGTGAAGTATCAGATTTGAGCTGGAGAAATGCTTCTGACTGGACTGTGGCCAACTCTCAATGTTCTGCTGAGGGATAAAAAGGCCTCCTGAGAGAACACTAACAAGACTTTAATTGTATGTTCCTCCAGTAAATTAATGGATGGAAATGATTTGATTAATTCAGAGACTGTTGGATGCTAATATCCAATTAGATTCTGGACACCA